CACACACACACACACACACACACACACAGAAGAAGTCAACTGTAACATCACAGCAGGTGATGGCTGATATGAAACACTAATTTATTTAGTCTTTGAGCAAATATGTGTTTTACTGTTTAACTTTTGGAGTAAACATGTTTCAAGTTGGCTTCCACAGCAAAACGATCTTAGCAGACACAAAAATGTCTGTAACCTAACCATTAGCCACCAATAATTTAACATACTCTGAGGTAAAATTTAGTGTGATGGTAGCTGAGAGGGATCCCAACATAAAGGACACTCTAACTCCATTTGTTTGTTAGCAAAATCTCTCATGAACCACTGGAAGGATATCAATGAAATGCTCAGAAACTACAACTGTTTAAGTCAGGTCATCTGGACGGTTTCTATTTTTTTGATTCATCATTTCGAGGAGCCACAAACAATGTGTCCCACAAGCAGCACACAGTGGGAAAAAAATAAAAAAACAGTTTGCTGGTGCTAAGATGGCCTCCGGGGCCCGTCCTCTCCCCCGTCAACTCCTCTGAGACAGTCATCCCAAAGTGGTTCAAAACATCAAAGTTCATGCTCAATAATCCAAATGATGTTCAGAAACACTTTGACATGACTGTCTCAGAGGAGTTGACGGGGGAGAGGGCAAGCCCCGGAGGTCATCTTAGCACCAGCAAACTGTTTTTATTTCTCACTATGGGAGTGTGTTGCTTGTGTGACTCAGTTTTTTGTGGCTCTTCGGACTGATGAAGTCCTTTGGATGAAGGATGAAACGTCTCATACAAAAAAGAAACCATTCAGATGACCCGACTGAACATTGTTGAATTTTTACCTGGATTGTTGAGCATGAACTTTGATGCAACTGATTAACTTTTGGAGTCAACACAATTCATGATGGCCACCACAGCTAATGAACCAAACATAAAAAATGTCTATAACTCTGTGAAGTTTTCAGATATTGAGTTAAAACCTGCTGTGGTAGAAGCTGACAGTCACTTACAACACAAGTGCTAACACACCATGTGAGAGAATATTTTTTCAAGGTTTGTCTAAAACAGCTTTAATCCTGTCTTTTCTTATCGCAGGACGATCTTAGTTTACAGAACCCAGGTCTTTTCTATCGTCTGCAGTGATAAGAACGACAGGTTGAGGAGCTCGTGTGTTTCTCTGCTCGGTGACGCCGCTCCTTCCCGTCCTCCAGGCTGCCTTCACCATGTGTTTTCATTTACCTGGTCGGCCCTGGACATAACGTTCCCACTGCAGTTATTATCCGCAGCCATGTGCAGGCTCTCAGCAGGGGAGAGCTGTTGGGAAGCTAATGCAAAATCCATTCACCTTTCCCAGACAGCTGAGACTCACACAGCACATCTGTCCGTTTGAGTGGAATGTCTTGCGGGCAAAAAAAAAAAAAAGCCAATTTCACTTGAGGTCATGCGCTTATATATGAAACTCTGTGATTCTTTGAAGCCCTGCGTCATACCAAAATGACAGAAGATGGAGGGTGTCTCTTATGTAAAGATGAAGCTCATCCAACAATCATACTCTAGCAGCTCTGTGGATATTAAACCACAGTTTTCTGAGTGGGCAGGTTTTGGGTATCTTCATATATCATGTGATGAAGTTCTCCCTCAGGTCTGAAGGGATGACTGAGTGTTTGATAAACTTTAAATACATGGTGTTTAGTCAACCCAACCAAATGGATGGAAAATATTGTCTCAGAGAGCAGATCTATAAACTCGGTGTTGTTTTTGGTTGGTATGGTTGCCAGCCCCCAGCCCAAGTGCTCCAACAATAACTCCTGTCCTCCCCCTGCAACAGGAGCTATTGATTTCATCCTGACAACACAGGCAGCGTCTTCCTCTCAAGGACAAATGTTTTCTTTACGCAGCGTCCCTGCTCTCTACCTGAGGGTTTCATAAGTCCAGCACATGGCAGTTTCCTGGAACCACCAAGCATCTTTCCATTCCAGCCCAGGGCCCACCTCCCTCCCTCCCTCCCTCCCCGCCCACCAGGCTCGCCTCTGGACCAGTTGTTTGAGGCGGCTGCAGGTGCCCCTCCCCTGGGCAGCCCGCTCAGGAAAGCACCCCGCTGCGCAGACGAGACGAGGCCACAGCCGTGTGCCAAATTCATGCTGTGAGGTGCAGAAGAGGCTCCCGTTCTCTCTAGACATACACGAAAAAGATTCCCCTCACACCCCGCCTGCCATAAAACCCAATCTGTTTTTTTCTTCTCGCAGACATTTCTTGTCCCCTCGTTTATCTGCAAACTCATCCCGAAAAGCAGGTTCAAGACAATTACTATGAAATGGTGTCTGGGTTCATTGGTTTGTCTGTTAGCAAAATATCCCATAAATCAGTGGATGAGTTTTAAGCACTTTGGTAACAGCTGCTGTTTTAAATGTGCTTTATAAATAAAGTTGGCTTGACTTTTAGTGAAACACTTGGATCACTGCACATCTATCACTGATTTGAGAATCGACCTCATTCAAGATGGTCACATGAAATTAGGTCAAGCTTGGTCTGCTTTCCAGACATTGAGCTAAAATTCGGTGTGGTAGTAACCGACAGTCATTCCCATCACATATTCCGAGCGCTGACAGATCCCACAAGAACTTTGTTGAAAACGTTGGCACGCAAAGTGGCAGGCAGTGAGCACTCCTCCAAAAAATGGTAGTTTTGTGTTGGAATTCAAAACTTTCCAAGCGTCAGCATTTTTAATGCCCCATCAGTTGAAATCCAACACATTGATTCCAGTTTATGGTCTCACACCCAGCTGTAAGAAAATCAAAATGATTGTAATTGCTGGTTTAACAGCAAACACTGAAACCTGTGTCCTCACAGAGTCTCTTTGTTCGATCCTCTGGCTGCCTCCATCCCGAGGCGCCCTCCTCGCATCACATCCCCCTGATTTCACATCCCGGTGTCAGCCGCCAGGATCAGGTGAGACCCGGGGTTTGAGCGGCCCCAAAGGCTAGAGGTTACATCAACCGACACACACGCTACACTTCACACCTGGGCTCTTACTAGAGTACGCCCCTCTCTCCTCCTGTGTTTCAGAGCCTCTCTGATTTTCTTCTTCTCGAGCCTGAGAACAGTCACTCCCGTTAACGCAGGCGTCAAGGATCTGCCGACCTCTGACCCCTCACTTGAGGTAAGCCCAGAGATGGAAGTAAAGGTTACTCTACCACCAACAAAACTCATCTGTAACCATTTGGAAGCAAATTTATGAAAAAATACTTACAAATAGGTGTGAAAAATAAGAAAAAAAACATGCATAAAATCTATCTGTGATGTGTGTGTTCAGCTTCAGTGTGCCCTGACACTGATTCTACAAACTTTAAAGAGGTGAAATTATATTTATTTTCAAATATTTTCATAATATTTGATCAAACCACTCTGCGGATCTGTGTAACCTTCAGATGGGAACAATTGTCCTTTAAGATTTGATGCTATGAGGATTTAAATGTCTTATTATGAAGGTTTATGATAGCTTTGTATTAATTTGCAGTAAAACTTCACTTTAACATGAAAGTGGACTGAATTGCATCATCAAAACAAACCACTGGATCCCATCATTTATTTGTCCTTCATGTGCATTTCTACTAGCGTTCTTTCACAAACTTTATGCTTTGATTTGTCTTGTCTGACCAAGATCAGAACATTTCCAGGTTTTTCGTTTGACAAATCCATTTTGGGTTTTAGTAAATGAGAACAAAATGACTGAGTAAAAACATAAAAAATATATACTATTGAAATATTCCAAGTTTAATAAATAATAACACATAAAGGCTGATCATTCTTTGAGAGAATGCATATCACCCAGCCAGCAAGATATTCTTGTGTTTTAAAACAATATTATTTAAAAGTTTTATTGTTTTTGGTCACATTTTAAAACAATTTTTTCCCGTTTGCACACAACACAACAATACATCATGCCATCTCGGATTGTGTGTTGGGTATGACTCTCAACTACTACCAAAATATTATAGCTCAATATTTGTAAAACATTCTGAGCTATAGCCGTTTTTGTGTTTGCTGACAACAATTAGCTGTTAATTTAAATCTTTGAGTTCAGCTCATGAAACCATTTTGACAAGACTGTCAACAAGGAAGAGGGCCGGCAATGGAGGAGGGGGCGTACCAAAGAGACCATCTTATCACAAGCAGAACTGGTTTGTTCCACTTTGGAGTAAGCAGTTGGGGGAAGAATCAGTTTTGTTGTGCGTTTCCTTGACTGATGAAGCCTTCTGGACTGAAGGCGAAACATTTCAGCACAAAAAAAAAAAAAGAAAAAGAAACTGTCCAGATGACCTGACTGAAAAATGTTGAACAATTAGCTGTGGCAGCCATCTTGAATTGGGTTACTCCAATGTGTAATCAGTTATAGATGATTACTTCCTGAAAGTTTCATTATAAACCATTCGCTGAGTCATGTGGTGTTTTGCTAACACACACACAATCAAAAGTATTAATCATGCTGTCTAATCAGCCAGCATCTTGATATGCTACACCTGTGAGGTGGATGGATTATCTTGGCAAAGGAGGAGTGCACACAAATTTGCATACATTTGTGAACATTTGAGAGAAACAGGTATTTTGTGTTCATAGAAATTTTTTTAAATCTTTGAGTTCAGCTCATGAAAAATAGGAGCAAAAACGAAAGTGTTGCGTTGAAATTTTTTTCCAGTATAGATGAGTGACAGGTCTGTGACTTCAGAGAGTTTGGTTTTAAAAAAAAGACCTTAGCGTGCCACCAGCAGGTGAATTGAAGGAGGGCTTCTTCATGAAGTCATGATTTAATTTTTTTGAACAGCTGTTGGAGTTACAAACACGTTTGTTCCTGATTTAATTTGCAGAAATCCATGTGCAGTTTTTTGGGGTTTAAGCACATCAAATAAAAAACGAGAGTTCTGCTTGACAAACACAACATTTGTAAAAATACAAACCATGTTCAAGTAAAATAAAACTGTTTTCTCTCAGACTGAAAGACTTTTTGAAGAAACTGTCTAGAGCTTCCCGTCCTCATCCAGGCAGTCTTTGTTTCAGAAATGTAAGCACTTTGCATGTCTAAGTGTTTTTAAAGTGTCTGCAGAATGTTATCCAACAAGTTGTTCCACTTGTCTTCACTCAGACTGATCTCACAACGTGGGTGACTCACCTGACCCACCCAGGTAAGTGTTCAGGGAGGACGCCTCTCGTCCTGCTCCTCGCAACCCAATTCAAGATGGCCACCACAGACAACTATCCTACAACCACAAAAGTAGTTCTAATGCTGTCAGATTTTCAGATTTTAACCTCAAATTTGGTGTGGTAGTAGCTGAGACTGATCCCAAATAAAACTTTTAAATACTAACAGATTGTGCAACATCTATGTTTAAAATGTTCCTATTAACTATTGAAGTCAACTCTGCCTTTTAGGAAAATATTTCATAAACCACAAGACATATTTCAATGAAACCTTCAGGAGACAGTTATTGGGTGCACATCTACAACGGGTAAACCTTTGGAGCAAATCCAATCCAAGATGGCCACCACAGCCAACTGACCCTGTAAACACAGAATTGGCTATAAATCAGTCAATTTTACAGACATTTAGCTAAAGTTTGATGTGGTCGTAGCTGAGAGTCATTCACAACACATTTTCTAAACGTTATTTCTAAAGTTTGATCAAAACAGCTACAACTTCATTTCTAACCATAAAATGATCTTAGTTTAAAACTCTGGAATGAAAGGCGGCATGTGATTTGCATTCCTACAAGGGACAATTGATCTTAATCAAACTTAAGAAATCAGCATTTAAAGAACTGCTTTTAACGTTCTGCAACACAGAAGGAGAGAAATTCAATCAGAGCAGCAGATGATCCATATCAGCCACTTCCATGCTGCAGTCTCACCCTCCAGATTACCATGCAACCCCACCTTGAAGATGTATCTGAGGCCCTGTGGGGGTCAGTAACTGTACACCTGTCAGAGTAACTGTGTGAGCTACTACAACTGCACAGGCTGCATGATGCTGCAGCTTGGCACAGCTGTTGGCCTCATTTCAGACACACACTGATGCAGAATGAGTCCTTTTAGCAGAGACAGATTCTCTAACATTCTTTTGTGAAATTCAATTGAAAGCTTTGATAAATAATCTCTTTTCAAAAATAAATACACAAATATACAGGTCACAAAACAATAAAAGCAGACATGCATATAAAACTCTCATTAGTTAAGTCATTTTTGCTCATTTTTGACTACATTGTGCTGTTAAATAAACCAGCTCATATTTATACCATGAGCACATGAGATCAGTTTAATTTGATTACAACTTATCTGCATTTTCATCACACAACAATTCCCTCAATAAAAAAACAAAACAAAGAAAATCCCATTTAAAATACATACGCAAAAGCTACCAAAATGTTGAAAAACATTTGGAGTAAACACACAACTGTTTAAACTTGGCTATGAAAGATGTCATTGTGCCATGTCCAGCAGATGCAGCTTTTTTCCACCTAAGAACACTTTAATGTCACCTCAAGAAAAAGTTTTCAAGTGTAATACCAAAATGATGAGGACCAGCTAGGCTTGTGTTTAGTGCCCCCTTGTGGTTTAATTATTAACAGCCTTTGACCGGTTTTGTGCCGATTAAAAGTAACCCCATCATAGGAACCACTATTCTTTTTTTTACATTGCATCTATATAGAAGTATTCTTATTAGAGGCATCAACCCCCTCTTTTTTAATTTGTTAATTAATATTTCAGTCATTCTTCCCTTCCCACGAACGAAGTCGTACTCTTCACGGCAGGAGTGCTTTTTTTCGGTACAACACCAACCGGAAGCGGAAATGGGAAAATGAGCTGTAGCTACTAGCTAGCAAACTATTAGCGAAGCTTACAATTGAAGCTGTGAAGTAGTCTAGAGAATTTATCAGCGTTTAGTTTTTGTGTTAAAACAAGATTTTTTGTTGTTTGATTATTAATGTCATATTGTGGAGCACAAAACTTCGGGTAGGGGTCAAATCGTTGATCAATTTTTGTGTGTTTTTTTTACACGTAGCCCAAAGGTATTCAGTTAGCCGGCTAGCTTGCTAATGTTGTGTTAGCCGTCCGGCTTTATGTTCGTGATAGTGCGGCCTCTGTGCTGGCTTATGTTATGTATCCTGCACTGAAACTTGGAAGGGCATGAAAACGGCTTTAGATGTGTTTTTATTGCTATAAGGATGATTTATGTGTAGCTGTCAATGACAACTTTGCTGTCAGTTTACAACAGAAGTGACTTTAATTTAAAGGAAAGTTTGGGCTCCCTTTCTTTTCTGATATAATAACCCTCCAGTTTTTTTGTCTTCTTAGGCGCCCCAGCAAATGGGACCAGTCTTCTGCCTCGGTTGGGATGGGGCAGACCGAGGCTGCCCCCACCGGGGCTCTGGATGCTGCAGCTGCAGTGGCTGCCAAGATTAACGCTATGTTGGTGGCCAAAGGCAAACTCCATCCCTCACAAATAAACGCCCCAGGAGGACCACCTCTGGAGAAGGTAATAAACTGTGTTTTCTCTCTCAGAAAGAATTGTTTAAAAAGTGATCTGATGTGGTGGCTATCAGAGCTGTATTTCTGACTGTATGGCAGTTAATTTATGTTCCAAAATCCATAAACCGAGCTGACCAAAAACATGTATGTTAGGCTGATTGGTAACTAAATTGTCCTAGGTGTGAGTGAGTGTACATGGTTGTTTGTCTCTATGTCTCCCTATGATGGACTTGCGACCTATCCAGGGTGTCCCCCGCCTCTCGCACAGTGACTGTTGGATATGGGCACCACAGACCCCTGTGACCCAAAAAGGAAGAAGCGGGCAAAGATAATGAATGGGTGGATAGTAGAGTGCTGAAGAAATGTTTGTATGGATGAGTAAATGAGGGCACGGATTGTGTTGTGAAGTGCGTTGAGTATCCTGTTTGGCTAAAAAGGCACTACAGTACCCAATTGCAAATCGACAGCTTTAACCAAGAGTCTTCGCACCTTGCAGTATACATAACCTAAAAGGGTTTTTAGTTATTGAATGTGAATTACCCAGTCCATACACATGCAGCCTCATCACACTGTGGGGCTGTAAAACTGAACAACAAATGGGACAACAGCAGGTCTGCTGCAGTTTCTGTAAAAACACATCTGAACTATGGTCTCGGTTTGACATTATTACGGTTCATATCAATTTGAGTTGCATTTTGTAGTTATTCCTTGATAAGCCTAATTACCCATCCGACATGATATGGTTTGAAATAAAATACAATGATTAACTTCACAGTGTTCTGTTTCAGAGCAAAGACTGAAGATTTTAACCTTTAAAAATTCCATAATGAAACAGTGAACTGATTGCTGTTTTACACAGCTTTACCGTGGATGTAACATCAACTCTATTTATTTAGGTGAATATGATCAACATAAAGCTGCTCAGGCTGTTGTTCTGTGATTGGCAGAGTGTTAAATCTTAGAGACCACAGCATGGTCCAGTCAGTTCTGAAAACGATCAGAACAAACTTAACCAAAAGAAACTTACCTGATTATGTTCAGTCTGTTTTGATTAATAAAATCCAGACAGACATTTTTTAATTTAGAAGTTTTTTGATCAACAGTTAATTAAAACATTTAGCACAAAATAGATTGATTTTCAGAGCATTCCCAATGATGGATGTTTATTTATCTTTAATCAGTCTGTAGCTGAAGTGATCTTTTTTCTGCTCTAAGATGCCCAGCTTACTACAACTCTGCCACTTGTGTGGAGTCATGTCAGTTTAGTAGGAGGTCCTATATTGAGAATCAGGATGGATTCTGTTCAGACTGCAGATAAATGGAGCCCAGCCCTCTGTCTTTATAAGGCAAAATGTGACCCTGATTAAATACTACTTAATTTAAAAGTATCTTATCAGGAGGTATAATGTAGCCATACATGCATTATTTCAACATTTCAAATACACATGAATGACACGTGTAGGTGCACTATATAAACATGGGGTACTACTTTTAGCTCATTTTAATCAGGAAAACTTAGTTTTGGCAACAGTAACTTTAGTATTTTTGAAGTTACTCAAATCATAATTCTCACAATAATGCATGCTGCTTGTATAGTTTTTTCTTTGTAGACACATAAATCAAACTTAACACCTGTACTAACTTCTTCCCACATAAAATTTCACCAAAATAAGGAAAATCCATTTGACCATACTTACAAACATTTTTTTCTAGAATTGTGTTTACACCAATAACTTTTAGTTTACCATAACTTTATCTTATCCTTTCAGACTCCGGTTACCATTGTGAAAAAACCTTCAGCAACGACAAAACCTAAAGACAACCTGGTGATAGCTGAAGTTGAGATCAACGATGTCCCTTTAAGCTGTCGAAATCTTCTGACACGTGGGCAAATACAGGACGAGGTCAGCAGCAACATGAATATTTAAAGTTTATAGAACTGATTGGATGGTTTAGGATGTATTGTGTTTTATCTACAGATCAGTAAAGTGAGCGAAGCGGCGGTTTCAACTAGAGGGTGTTACATGACAGCAGAGCAAAAGAGCAAAGCAAAGCAGGGGTGACTTTTCTTGTTCTATATTTTTAGCAGTTGACCATCAAACCTATAGACACTGTGTTTAATATGAACTTGTTTCTGCGCCCCCAGTGAACGACCGCTGTATTTGCACATCCAAGGACAGACAAGAGAGCTCGTCGACAGTCAGTACTTTTAACTTATTTTATTGTGAATATTTCTTACATGCAAATTAGGATTTAACTGCCAATCTCTTTATCCCTCCTTCTCTAGAAGCAGTAAATAAAATCAAAGAGATCATCGCCAACGGTGTTGTGAAGGCTGCAACTGCCTCCATCTCGTCATCACCATCATCATCTTCATTCTCCCCAAGTGGGGCCCCAGTCACAATCTACAATCAGCAAAACCCACCTCCATCCTCGTTACCCCCCGTTGCCAACCAGAAGCCTCACTTTCAGTCAGGGGTAAGAAGATTAAGTTCAGATTTACACTCAAGCATTGACTGAAAATGTTTTTCCCATAAAACAAGCATCTGTGTTCAAAATAGCGGTCCAACTAGACTAACCAGATCAATCACTGTTTTTGGTAGAAATCATTTTACCACATGGCTAATTATTTACTAGTAGGTGTAGTAGAGTCATAGAAAACCAACAGAACCAACATTCATTGTATTAATGTTCCTGAGTTTGTGTAATTCAATAATTGATTGAAAGAGGCATGTTCCAAATAATAGTAGTGTGGAGTTCAATTACTGAGGTCATTTTTTCTGTGAGCAAGCAGGTGTCAATCAGCTGGCCTACATTTAAGGATGAAGCCATGTTGTGCATGCATTTCTCTTTGAAAACCTGACAAAAATGTGTCGTCCCAGGCATTGTTCTGAAGAACAGCGTACTTTGATAAAATGTTTATTGGAGAGGGGGAAACGCATAAAGAAGTGATCAGTGATCGCAGTAAATCGATAAATGATCTCCAGTGCTTTAAAATGGAAAGCAAATCCAGAGAGACGTGGAGGAAAACAAAAGAATGTCATTTGTATGATCGAAGAATAGCCATAATGGCAAAGAGCCAGCCAATGATCAGCCCCAGAGGGAACTAAGAAGGTCAGGCAGAAGTTAACGGTTGGTACTGACAGAAGACGCCTGAGTGAAGCTAATCTATCATTAAGAAGCCCCCACAAAGTCTCACTGTTTAAAAAAAAAAAGATGTGCTGAAGAGATTATTTGCCAAAGAAGACATCAACTGACCTATAAAGAAATGGAGATTAATTTTGTGGGCTGATGAATGTAAGATTGTATTTTTTTTTTGGCTACACGGGCCACAGTTTGTCAGCTGACCCCCAATCACTGAATTCAAGCCACAGTACACTCTGAAGACACTGAAGCATGGGGATGTCTCTTACTGTGGTGTCGGGCCTTTAATCACATACAAGGGATCATGGATCAGTTTGCATATATCAAAATACTTGAGATCATGTGGCTTTATGCAGAAGAGGAAATGCCCTTGGAGCGGGTGTTTGAACAACACAACAACCCCAAACACTTCAGTAAGTGAGCAGCACCTTTGTTCCAGACCAACAAAGCTATGGAGTGGCCAGCCCAATCCCTGGACCTTAATATGATTGAAACCTTGTGGGTTGACATCAAAAATGCTGTTTCTGAGGCCAAACCAAGAAATGCAGAGGAACTGTGGAATGTTGTAAAATCATCCTGCGTTGGAATATCAGTTCACAGCTGCCAGAAGTTGGTTGACTCCATGCAACACAGATGTGAAGCAGTTCTCAGAATGTGATTAAACAACTAAATATTGATTCACAGGAATGATAAATCCTAAAAACTTTTCAGTTTATAAAGTAAATACGAGTTTGTAAATCAAAATGTCAGCACAATGTTTTTGAACAGCCCAATGTTCATTTTCTGTAAAGTGATTAAATTTTATTATACAATTTTCTTCATGGTTTGATTTAGAATATAATGTGCAGTTTTCCCAATACATAGAAATAAAATATTTTCTAAGGATTTAGAGCTTTACTTACATTTGTAAAGACACGGCTATTGTTTCAAACAACTGACCATGAAGTGTATTCGGTTTTAAATCTCATTTTCCTAATACAGATGCACTTTTGTTGTTATAAAGTTTACACTTTATTAATGAGTATTGCATCTTGTTTAAAAAAATGTGCTACCATTAATGTATTAAAACACCATCACCTGATTTATTGTTTTGTGCGTCACTTTTCAGATGCATTTTGTTCAGGATAAGGTTTTTGTGGGCCTGGAGCACAACGTGCCAGGCTTTGTGGTCAAAGAGCGCGTCGAGGGCCCCGGCTGTTCATATCTGCAGCACATTCAGGCTGAAACTGGGGCCAAAGTTTTCCTTCGGGGAAAAGGATCAGGCTGTTTGGAACCCGCATCCGGACGAGAGGCCTTTGAACCCATGTATATTTACATTAGGTGGGCGCTGGCGTCCTTTGAATTCAAGAAAAAAGTTGTCAAATTAGAGGCGTCTTTTTCACTTTGTGTAGACATAAATGTTGTTTTTCTTTTCTAGTCATTCTAAACCAGATGGACTCGCAGCAGCAAAAACCTTGTGTGAGAATCTTCTTCAGACGGTGAGTAATTTCCTGCGACTATGTTTCAAAACTGGATAAATTATTTCTGAATAGTTGTGGTCTATGTTCTAGAATTGCGCTGCTCCAGGTGGCTGCATGTTGGAGTAGCTCTGCTACATTCATTCTGAGGTTTTGCTTTTGGAAACTTTTAATTCCTCTTTTTCTGGAGATTAATCGCTTTTTTAGGATTATTGGTTGTTTTGGTATCGAAGGCTGTGCAGCTGGAAGGATTTTTAATGAAACTTTTTTAGTTTCGGGCATTTGTTATGATGCATACCCATAACAACAAGGTGGTTTCTACAACCAGGAGCAGATGATTAACATCTCAAAAGCTCAAACGATACCTCAACTACAGCCCCAAATCTCAAATGAGTTGAAAAGAAGGCGCCATGGATGCATTCCCGTCTCCTTGCCGGCTGTGCTCGAGTGTCTAACCATTGGGATCATGGAACTGGCAAGAAGCATGGCTCGTAACAGCAGAAGGATCGGAATAGTCTCCCAGCTGGCTGTCCGCAGTGACGAGGAGCTCGGCAGGCTGCTGGAAGGAGTGGCCATCGCTCTGGGAGGAGTTCAGCCCGACATTCAGGCGGTCCTGCAACCCAGGTGAACCAAGAGGCCAGCTGAATCTAGGTGGACGGATTGAACGGCTTCTGCAGCGTTTCTTTGGATCCGCTGTGGGATGGACCTTCCTGTCTACAGCCATCAGTATCTATAACATCTTTTAATGAAATAAGGATAATGAGTTACTACAATATTTAATTTCCTTTTGGGAATAATAAAGTATTTTTGAATTGAATTGAAATGAATCACAATGTTGACTAATATAAATGTGATTAAATTTAACTGAAATAAAACTGTCCAAGTCTCTCTCTCCTTTTATTACTAGTACAAGTAACATTCCTTGAGTATGAAAAATCCAAAAACACAGCAGGATATGAAAATTCCAACTTAATAAAGTGATAATCAAATTATTTATTGACTTCCCTGATGGGATGAGTTCACTGGTTCTCAGTCCATATTTCAGGTTTGTGAATGGATCAGAGATGTTTGAAAAGATTACAGACTGGAGCAAACTCTTTACCCAGGATGTATAAAGGTATTAAAATTTTATATCAGTCTACTGGAAAAAATAAATACTGGGATTAACACAAAATATTCACAATTAGAAAATATGATATATATTTTTCCATGTTTCGGGGTAGCATGGTTCTAGCTAGCAGGGTAAAATAGATTTTTCCATAATTAGTGAACCTTTAGTTCTGTATCTGAGCATTGGTGAGAGAAGTGGACGACAAATATGTTGATTCCAAAACACGAGCATGATGATATTGGTAAGATCTGCAAATGAAACCAAATTTGCATAATCAGATCACTATTGGTTGGGGGGGGGGGGGGCAACGAATGATCAGTGGGGAAAAAATTGCTGCCGACAAAGTGACGCACAATGTGAAAATGTTACACAATGTTAAAAAACGTAACTTACTTTCTTGTGGCTTCTGCAGATGTTCCACTGAGATAATATTTTGCATACTTGGGTCACAAAAGTATAGGTGGTGTTAGCATCTTTATGGTTCTGCCTAAAACCACAAGAGTTTTCTGCAAACGCCATCTGCAAAAAACAACTTAAAGATTAAAATTCAAAGGAAAGATGTGTTGCTCCTCGGAGGTGTTGATGTAGTATGAAAATCATTCCTAATAGTTCTGTCAAACGTTCCTTTTAAGATGGAGTGAAATCTTTGTTGGTTTTAATTTGGCCTCCAATTGTTTAACACAAATGTTTCTTTTCCTTCTAGGTTCGAGCTGAGTATTCTCGCCACCTTAATCCAATGGGCTCCGTGATGCCAGCACAACAAGGTACAACACAACTGAGCTGTACTTCACTTTTAAAACCTTTATCCTAACGATGTTTTTCATGTTTTGATTGGACCTCTAGATGATTTGCTGTGGTTGACAATAAACATGAACACAAACCTATGAATAAAGTTCAGCAGCAGGTCTCGATGTGTTCTGCTCCTGTTCCCCAGGCTTCACCCAGCCTCCTGCAGTGAATGGAGTGCTGACTCCACCTCCTTACTTCTCCCCTGCTGGATACCAGAAACCATACTCCATACTTGTACCACCACCGCCCAAGCCCCTACCGGTCCCACCGCCTTTTCCTGTACCACCCCCTGTACCCAAAGTGGCTCCTGCAGGTGGGCCTTCTCGGTACCCTCCAGGCTCTGCTCCTGTTCCTGCTCCAACTGTGGCCCCTGCCCCAGACACTCTGCAACAGGTAGGAATATCCTTTAATTATCACATGATAGGTGTGTAGCTTTCAGGGCTGTGTAAAAGTTTTAGGCAGTGTCACCAAATCTGATAAGGTACAAAATGTGGACGATTTGATAGATGAGTTCTCAAACTTCTAAGTAATCTGAGCTGCTGCTAATTACTCCACTGGTAATCAGCTGTTTATCAGTCTCGCTTGAACTGAATCAAACTGCAGAAATGAAAGGATTCCTTGAATGGATGCATATCACCCACCGCCTTGCATGTCAAAGCTTGAAAGATTAGTTAGCACCCTTAACAATGTTCAGTCAGGTCATCTGGACAGTTCGTTTTTTGCTGAGACGTTTCGTCCTCATCCAAACGACTGCCACCAAACAAACTTGAGTCCCACAAATACAATCTGGGAGTGATCTGTTTGTGGGATTCAGTTTGTTGGTGGCTCCTCAGATTGAAGAAGTCCTGTGGATGAAGGACGAAACGTCTCAACAACAGAAAAAAAAACGTCCAGATGACCTGACTGAACATTGTGGATTTTTACCTTGATTATTGAGCATGAACTTTGTCGTTAGCGCCCCTAAATGTTGGAGATGAGTCTCAGCCACCACCACAGACTGACAATAACATAACCGCCCACATGTGTGTTTGCTTGTATCTGTTAGCAAAATATTGCATGAAGCAGTGATTTTAATGAAACACTCAGAACGTAATCACTGGATTACGAGCCAACCTGAGACAAGACAGCTGTTGAAACTAAGTGAACTTAACAAACAAAAATAGCTACAAGTCAGTTTTATGTACATTTACAGATTCTGATATGTGGTGGAAGCTGAGGTCATTCACGTCACATGTACTCTGAGCGCTAACAGGTGATGCAAGATCTGCTTTCAACTTCTGCATGCAAGATGGCGGGTGATGTGCATTTCTTCAAGGAATGCTAGTTTCACTAGACATTATTCTCAAAACGGGCATCACGGTGGTTCAGTTGATAGAGCTGCTGCCTCTCAGCGAGCAGGTTACCTCGGTCCAAATCCCGGTCCGGAGGCCTTTCTGGGTGGAGTTTGAATGTTCTCTCCGTGCATGCATGTGTTTTCTCCCAGTTTCTACTTGTTAAATTTATTTTCATTTAGTTTTTTTGTGTTTTTAAGAGCATTTTATTTCAATTTAAGCAGCAAGCAATGAAGACAAACCCATCCACACCAAGACCACATTAACAAAATGATTCTGTCTATGAACTGTTTTTATTTGGTGTAATTATTTAATCCCCCCACCCCAGTTAACAAAAACCCCAAACTCTGTTTTGAGAATAATTAATCCATCCAGCCATCAATCCATCCATCAATCAATCAATCCATCAACCAATCATCAATCAATGAATCCATCCATCCATCCATCCATCCATCCATCAATCAAATCCATCAATCAATCCAAACGTCCATCAATCCATCAATCAATCCAAACGTCCATCCATCCATCCATCCATCCATCCATCCATCCATCCATCCATCCATCCATCCATCCATCCATCCATCCATCCATCCATCCATCCATCCATCCATCCATCCATCCATCCATCCATCCATCCATCCATCCATCCATCCATCATCTTTACCCAAAAATTCTTTAACGGGTCACGGGGGTCACTGGTGCCCATGTCTAGCAATCACTGTGGACACCCTGGACAGGTCTTCAGTCCATCACAGGGACACAGAGAGACAAATAACCATTCACTCTCTCACTCACACCCAGGGACAATCTAGAGTTACCAGTCAGAACTAACATGCATGTTTTTGGTCTGTGGGAGGAAACTGGAGTACTAGGGCTGGGTACCTTTCTAAAAACATCGGTATCGGTACCTTCACTTCGGTGTCGGTTCCTGGACAGTTCTTTTTTCGGTACCAATTTTTGTCATTAATATTAATTGTAACAAGAATAAAATTACATTACACGTTACAGTACAAATTGTGAGTTTTAATTTTTAACTTTGGTATTTCTATTCCAAGCAGTTTTCTTACATAAATATAAACAAATAATTTCCAGTTCAAATGAACAGTTGCAAACAACAAGTGACACGTCAGTGTTTAATGTTCACTGCTACACACTGAGGACCTTTTCACTGAACAGTTTTTCTTCAGAAACAACATGTCTGCTTTCTCTGGACACAAACAAGCCCGCTCCTGGCTGATGGTGTCTCCAGCAGTAGGAAGGGTTCCCTCCGAAGCTGTAGATGATGCTTGTTGCACACACAGATACCTGGTTGTCAGTTTGACAGCACTGACATGTTGTCCCTCACATCCCACCAGCAGGTCACTGGATTCACTGAGGTTAGGGTTGATGCAGACTTCTGCACCTCTGTGTCTCTGCCTGAATCTTCTCTGTGGTTCTCTGAGGTTTAGGGATCTGATCATCTCCCTAATTGACATTAGGTCACAAAACATCAACAATAACATGGTTGTGTTGTTTTTGTTCAGAAAACATTATCTAGGCTGAGACTATAGTCTAATGATGATGTATAAACAAAATTATGTATTTTGGGCACAGAAGACAAAAATAAATATTTTTCTGACATGTACTTGCATTATATTTTTACATGGAAGACTAAGTGAAGATTCAACTCAATATGCTGGCTTCCTTAGATAGATAACTTTTAATAATTGGCTTTTATAATGCTATATAATGTTTGTGAATGTTTCTGTTCAGTGCCCTGAGATGACTTCTGTTTTAACTTGATGTTATTTAAATAAACTGAGTTGAACTGAATCCCAGAAGGTACTTTGTGTATTTATGACTCCAATTTTTGTTGATTAACTTGCAGTAATAATAACATTTTATAAATGTTATCTGTGTTTAAGAATTATTTGAAAATATTTTAGATTACTTTGAATCTTTATTTTAGCATTTATGTTGTTTCCTTGTATTTGTTTGGTTCTATATTTCCTTATTTTTTTCTGTTGTTCTGTAAAGAATAAGTTAAATTAAAAGTCTTTTTTTGGCTGCTATGTTCTACAGTTTGACCTTTTTCTAATCTGTCAATTTTAGACATTTATGTGTCAAGAACATCTAAACAGAATATTAATTCTAAAAACGTAAAAGCCTTTTCAGTGCACAAGAAATGGTGGACGAATTAAAAGTGCATCATACGAGTAGTTTATGTATTTATTTATTTTGGCTTCTAACTCATTTTACTGTTTCAGGGCTTCAGCTCGTCTTCATTCAGACATTTAAAAAAGCATCAAATTCAGATTATATTGCAGAGAAATAACCAGCTGGTGTTGTTTGGCTCCTCTGCAGACACTTCCTCCAGTTCCTTTTCCTCCCTCTGCTGCAGCAACAACCAAAGCTCTCCCTCCTGCCGGCCCGGTCAACCCACCACAGAAAAGACGCTTCACAGAGGAGGTACCAGACGAGAGGGACAGCGGCCTGTTTGGTTATCAGGTAATGAAAACGTTGCTTTACATTTGCAGCATCGCTTCCTCTTTTGTTTTGTTTTTTAATACTTTGACTCCATGTTTGTTTGTCCTTGCATTTGTTTTTTTGTTTCCTCTTCGTATATTTTGATTGGTTCTGTTTTCTGGTTAGACTCATTTGCAGTTTGTCTAGAAGTTTCTTCTATTAATATGGTTTTTCAGAAAAGGCATTTTATTGGATGCTTTTTTTAAAGTTTATCTCAGAAGAGATGAGGAAAATAACTCAGTATGATTTTGGACTTTGGGAAAACGTTTTATAGGTGTCAGGACAGGGCTTTAGACGTCTGCTAATCGTGGCTGTGTGTTTTTCTGCTCATAGCATGGACCCATTCATATGACTAATTTAGGTGCAGGCTTCGCAGTGGGCAGCACAGAGACTACAAGACCCCCACCATCGAGTTCCCCTGGCCCGGCGAGTGACAGGGACAGGTTTGTAGTTTATTTTTGTAATTACTGTTGGGTATTAAACTGGTGTCAAAATGCAGAGGGGATTCAGATGGTCACTTTGTGTTTTTCAGTTGGCAGCTGATGCGTCCGCCTCCGTCCGTCCCTGTTAACGGTGTGAGACCCAGGATGGAAGAGAGGAGGGCACCGCAAGGCCCTGTGGGTAAGGGCGTTCTCCTGTGGGCTGACAAATCCATCCCCAGATCCTCAGTTCACGACTCTGAGCTGCGGCTTTAATTAGGATTTACCTCAATTTATTCTCTCTCCTGTAATGTAGAGGTGAAGAGTGCACTTCTTTCTTTGAACACTAGAGTGAGTTTTTTTTTAAGCAATGTGTGTTTGTGTGTGTCACAAAAATCCAGCAGATTTATAAAAACATACAGTTGAATCATGGGGTTGAAAAAGAGCATTCAGCGTAAACTGTTTGCTGTTTATCGTCTGAAAGACTCTGCAGATGAGACTTTATATCTCCCAAAAAAGAGTTGGAGCTATGATGTAATAACACCTGCTGAGTCTTCATCAGTCATGTGATAAATCATGTCCACCTTGCCGTCGCGTGCTGATGACATCATCAGTCTGGACTGTTACTTTTCTCTCTTTGCTAACAAGAATCTCCTGTTTTTTGTGTTTTTTCTCTTTTCTCTGTGTTTTTCTTCTCTTCCATGTGTCTCTGGGCTGACGCTGGATTCTGGTTGGGGGTTGGGCTTGACTTGACTCGTGACGCCGTCCTGCCACGTGATTGGATGGCCCTTATGTGAACGGCTGCCCCCCCCCCCCCCCCCTCTGCTGATATGAATTTAATCTGAACCTATTAACTATTTGTTTCTCCCAAAATGTTTTTTTTTTTTGTCATAATGAACTTGTGTCAAATGAAACTCGTTGTTTTTTTGTTTTTCTCCTCTCCACTTGTGTCTCGATTCTCTTTTCTCCCTTTTTTTGTTCTGTTTTTTCAGAGCCGGTTATGAAAAGACTGAAAACGGGTTTGGTGGGGTACACAGGCGACTCCTCTGATGACGAGGAAGACAGGGGCACCTCCAGAGCCCCATGGCCAGGTAACTCTAGGGCAGCTCCCCCCACCTCTGCTCCTCCAGGCTGGACACGGGGCTATCGCTCCCCCGCTCCACCGCCACCTCGTGCCAAAACACAACCACAGCAGCAGTCTATACCTTTCTGGATGGCCCGATAAAAAAACTGGAATAATCTAAAGTCCCTCAGTGGATTTTTTTTCTGAGTCTTACAGGAAGTTCACCCGAACTGAGTCCGGTGTTTCTCACCACCGTCAGTCATAAGGATCATTCTTCACAGCTTTGTGTGGAATTATGCATTTATTTCAGTTCATGGGTTCAAATGAATAAACTGTTTTTGCAACTCCTGTCTCCACATTATAGGTCGAAGGTGAACGTTTTCACGAAAAGCACTTGATCCTATTTTGTGGTTAAATGGATGACTTCTTGTTTTTTTTCTTTTTTATGGAACCCACACCAATGAGTGTTTAAAAACAGTGTCTTTGTGAAAAGTATAAGAGTGAGTTTAAGATGAGTGAACTAACCAGTTTTTATTTTATTTCAGATTTATTTCAGATTTTTTTTTCTTAATTGCATCAATTGCTGACTTTTCTCTGTTTGTGTTGTCATTCTTTTCTAATTTACTTTTTTGTACAGATCTTACTGAAGTTGCAAGTAGTGTACCCGCCTAATTTATTTCATGCTTTTATTAAATAAAACTCATTTATTGGGAGTGTTTCTGCACGTTTTTTAATAAGTTGCAAATTTTGCTTTAAATGTTTTCTTGTTTTATTCAGGGTGTTTTATTCTAAGCTTGTGGGTTTTTATGACTTGCTGAAAGTGAAACGGCTGCGTGTCCTCGTACAAACCTCGTTCATCCAGTTCACTCAAAGAGATCAAAGAGAAAAATAGCTGATTGAGAACAAATTACATTAAATAAAATATAAATAAAATATAGACCTGTGCAATGTCGCATATTGAACATGCCCCTGAAGAATTTTTGACGGATATGAAAGTCCATCATCCTAGGTTAATTAGTTCTAGATGTAGGTGCAACATTTTTCTACAATGTCTCAAACTCACATTACACTTAATTGCCTTCAAAATGATGTTCCTCTCAGGCTCTGAAATCAAATTGATTCTTGAAATCTCTGCTGCTGAAGTAGATCCGCAGACCTGCTGGTTCAGTGACTAAATTTTGTGCATATTTGGGAACTAAAACAGTCTTTAGATCATAAAACTATGTGAAGATTTGAGGCCCTTTGAGTAACTTAGTGATGATAAAGTTATCTTTTTTCTTTTGGCTAAGTAAGAAATTAAGTTGCTTTTAAACATCAGACCTCATATTAGGACACATTCAACCATCTGAAAGGACCAGTGCTTTTCCAGCTATTGGTGCATTTGTCATGCTTATTATAGTTGATTTAATAATTCCTTCAAAAAGATAAAATTACTGAAACCTTTTTTCCTTGAATATGTGAGAAAAGATGTTTGAAACTTGAAGGAAATTGTATTTCTTCTTCACCTGGGACACTTAAAATGATAATTCATCGTTTTTGAAGTGGGGTTTTGTGGAAAAGTTATAAATATCTTACCTGTTGCAGATAGATTTTTTTGAATGCCCTTAATTTGAAACCATTAAATTTTGAACAGATTGATGATCTTACAGCTAGTCCAACTCATGCAAAGGCCAAAGCAGATTACCGTTTTAAAATAGCTTTAGTCTCTAATTTTTTTTATTGTGGTTCAAATGAACACTATTTCACATTTACCTTGTCAATAGTGCATTAGATTATTCCAGCAGAAATTTTATAGTATTCTTGCTAGAAGTTCCCCAGTTTGACCCCAAAGTGCTACAACGAGACACTGCTGCTGCTATTTCTCAGTTTCACACAAAAAAGAAAAAGTGAAACAAAACCTACAGCATTGTGAAGGTTCATTTATTTATTTATTCATTTTAGAATGGAACCGTTTTAAACTGGCAGCAATACTTTGGTCTTTGCCCAACTTGAATTAGCTAATCAGATCAGAATTAAACAGTTTCTCCAAACTGAGATCTTTCAAACAACTACCTGCAACAGGTAAGATATTAATTGTTCATTCCTTTAAAAAAAATATATGTTTTTAAAACTCACCATTTTAAATACTTAAACTTTAATTTATATTAATGTGAATTCAAGAGTTTCTTAAAGGTTTAGCAAAAAAACTAGATAATCTTATTTCATTCTAATTAACTTAATTGTTTATCGAGTGCAAAGAAACATTAGCAGAGTGACAGGAACAGTTGCAGAAGGTGTCCAGCAGAGGGCAGAATGTTTTTAACAGTAAAAGATCCCACATTTCCAAGCTTAAAAACATTAAATATTTCCAGGTCTTTTAAACTCTTAATTTATTTCAAAATAGGCCTCAAAATATCATTACTAAAGTCCTTTAAGAGTCAGTTTAACAAAATCAAGCAAAAAAAAAGCAAACTTGGATATTCTTATTATACTTAATATTTTTTTTTTACAGATCAGTTGAAACAAATCATTGGAAAATAAATTTTGTATTTCTTGGAAGGTCCTCTAAAAACAAACAAACAAAAAAAAAGGATCCCTGATCACACGGCCTCTACTCAGACCGTGCCCCCAAAGTCCACCCCCCTCACCGAAGCCAAGAAAAACAAACGGCATCACGTATAAACACACTTCACAGCTGACATCGGTTAACCGTCATTCATCCACAAAGCTTTTTACCGGGAGCACCAACACCCTTCACGCACAGGACCAACTGTCGCACTGCTTTTCCAGTAAGACAGGTTCCAACAAGGCCAATACTTTACTTTCATTACTGTTACTTGCACGGAGCTTTCCTTCATTTGGGTTTTGGAATATGCAAAAAAAAATCTATAAAATCTGATATATTTTTCAAACTACTGGAATTACACTTGCATGAAGAGCATTGGTCACCCCTACAGCACCAGTTTCTTCCCATTTACATAGTTTTTTGTATGATCACTTAGTGCATTGCTCAAGATTTCCTGAGAATAGTTGCAACAGAAATAAAAACCTAAGGCAACTTTATCACAATATATATATATATATATATATATTACATTTGACTAACTTTGCTAATGCGCTGAGGGTCGAACGTGTATGAGGGCGTTACAGAAGTATCGTCTACTCAATCACTATTTTAAATGGTAACAAGACAGATGATGGACAGGATACAAAAAGTTCAACCAGAAAAAAAGAAGCTAGAAGCTCTCAAATCTCTTAGTGCAAATAAACAAGAAACAAATCGACAGATGATTGTGCACACAAGGCCAGAAGAGCACGTCTGCTACGTGGATTTCAAGCAAAATTCAACAAAGCATGGCGAGGTTAAATCGTTTTTGGTTAAACGCAGTTAAACTCTAAAGATAATGGCCCCCTTTGGTCACAGAAAATCTACAAGAACTGCCATATGTGGAAACAGATGAGCCATTTTGTGCTCCAGTTCGAAGGGTTTACCCCCACCACCACCCCCGACGTCTTGTTTTGTTCTCGCTAACAAAGTTATGGAATGTGCCTGTGTTACTGCAGAACCTGGCGGGTTAAATGTGCAAAGATTGCATAGGAAATGGGGGAAAAATTGGTCAAAAGGAGACGATCAATCTGTAATTAAAAAAAAAAAATTAACTGACGTTAAAAAGGCGTCCAGGTATACAGAGAGCAGGAAGCTTTAGTGCAAAGCAGCTTCTCGTAAGTTTTTGACAGAGTGGATCTGGGTTCAACTTTGAATTTGGTAAAAAAAAAAAAAAAAAATTTAAAAAGCAGAAAAGCCATAATAAATACAAATAAATAAATAAATATACCGATGGGGGCTTGTTGTTTTAGTATTCCCTACATCTTGTCACACTTTGTTTGAAGAACCCTAATGAGTGCTTTGGAAGACTTGAAGTCCACAGCTTCTAAGAAAGGAAAATAAAAGTCTTTAACGTTAATCACCATCAACTCGTCGACCCAGACTTTGTCTCTTTTGGTCAGGCATTTACAGCAGAGCGTTACGGCTCTCAGACACTCATACATGGAGGTAAAGTCTTTCTCATGGCTTTCAAAGAAACAAAAAACAGAAACGTTGGGAAGAATCTCCTCTTCAAACCCAACATTGGCTACAGTTTCTCTCCCTCCTCTTCTAAAAAGGAACAAAACAATCATATCTGTGGTTTAAACACCAAATCAAAGAAATAATTTAAGGTTATTGCTTTAAACACTCACAAGAATGAATCGTTTGCATTTTCATTAGTGACCACCAGAAAACGGCGGGCACACTGAGATCGTAGGGAACATCTGTCCCTGCTGCAGCCCTGGGTTTTATTTTGCATAGTGTAAAGCATCCCCAGTTTTTGAAGACCAGCCAAAAAAAAAGAATCAAATCATTAGAGAGAGCTCAAACTTTGAAATTAAACCACAAACACACAAAATAAACGTCAAAAACCAGAAGACCAACATTTAAGATATATAAGAAAAACCCGTTTTCCTCCCTTTTTTTTTTTATTTTGATACATTTATGTTTTAAGTGCTGTCTGTTTGGGAGCAGCAGGTCATTAGTCCAGCCACCTGAGTTAAGTAATTGTTATTATTTTTTTAATTGTGGATATTTTACCACACACAGTCTTTTTCTTATTCCCCTACTTCTGCTTCTTCCTCTCCAATCTCCTCTTCCGCTTCGTCCGCCCATCTGTCGTGCTGCAGAGCCGGAGAGCGGGTCCTTCCCGGGTCCTCTCCTTCCATCTCTCTGCCTCCCAGCAGCCCTCGAAGGAACAGCTCATGGTAGTCGGTCAACCTGTGAGGCCCGAGCTGGGCCAGAGCCTGGAGGGCGAGCGAGCGCTCCCTCTCCCGCTCGATGTCTCCGGGAAATATCACCGGGAGGCCACCTCCGGACACGCTGCCACCTTCCAGCACTGAGCGGGGGTGGAACACAGAGGAGTGGGCCTGGAAAGACAGGGGACTGGACTGCTCGCTCCTGCCTCCGCAGTCCTCCATCATCTCTGGCCCACGTCTGGGCCGGCGTGTGCGCTGCTCCAGGCAGCTGTGACCCTTGCGATGGCGCTGGAGGTGGTCCTCCCGGGCGAAAGCCTTGTGGCAGAGCGGGCACTCGAAGGGCCGCGCCCCGCTGTGCAGGGACAGGTGGTTTTTGAGGTCGTACGAGTGGAGGAACCGGGCAGGGCAGTGGGGGCATGTGTAAGGGCGCTCACCTGTGTGTTTCCTCATGTGGATCTTCAACTTATCATTGCTACAAAAAATACAAAAAGAAAAGAGATAAATTAATTATTATTAACTAGAATAGTTGAAAAGCTGGATTTTTGTGTCCGTACCGTGTAAAGCGAACTCCACAGGCCGTGCACTGGAAGGGTTTCTCTCCGGTGTGCGTCCTCATGTGTCGTGGCAGTTTTCCTGCTCCATGAATGATTTTCTGACAGACTGGACACTGCTGGGGGGTCTGAGACTTCCTCTTCCTTCCCCCTCCGGCTACAGATGTGGCTGCTCCTTGATCGGCTAAAGAGGTAGGTACGGTGCTGCTTCCCATCGGCATCACATCATCGCCTAAACCCTCCGCCTCGCCGTCCTCGGGCAGCTTGTTACTCTTGATGGGGGGCGGGTGAGCGATACGAGGGAGATCTTGCGGCCAGTGAAGGAGCCCTCCGTTTAAAGGGGCTCCGATCCCTGGCTCTCTGATTGGCCTCAGATCCCCGTTCTGCCCTGGTTTGATGTGAAGCTCCTCCTGCTCGGGGCTCGGAGGCTGGGTGGGGGGCAGGGATCGGTGGCTTTCGGATGCGGTTGAGAGGTGTGAGGCGGGCAGAGGGTTCGATGGTGGGAAGTTGTTGTGGTGTGGCCTAATTTTTTTCACCTTATTTTTGTCTTTTCTTCTCGACCCTTTCTCTACACCGCTTTCTGTCACCACCATTTTCTTGCAAGCCATTTGTTGGGGTCTCTGCTCCTCCGCCGTCTCCCCCTCAGCCTCTGCCGTCTCCCCGAGGATGTCTCTGCAGGCGTCGGCTACACACTGGATGCCCAGAAGCTGAGCTCCTCGCAGCACATCTCTCATGGCAGAGCTGGGAATCGTCAGCGTGGCGGTGTAGGCGAACTCCAACAGGGCATCCAGGGCGTCGGGCGCCACGCAGTCCAGCTGGCAAACACTAAAGCCTCCGCCGCCCTCGCCGCCCCCTTCCTCTGCTCCGAACAAGCGGCGAAAGTAGAGACTGACGGCAGCCATGACAGAGCGATGTGTTGGGTAACGAGCCCCGCGGGAGGTGAGGGTGAGGTCACACAGGAGTCCTGTCCTCCTCTGATCATTGAGGTGGGACAAGAGCTCGTTGCTGTGCTCCGGGAAGGGGATCCCAATCAGACCGTCCTCTCCTGGAGACATCACCACCTACAGGACAGAAAAGAAAGGTTAAACATGAGAACAGGGTGATGGAAGACAAAATTACTAACATTTACGATAATCCAAGAAATATTTACAAGGAAATCTGCAGTTAAGGAACCCTAAGAAAACAAACTTCTCACTAGTAATCCTACAAGATGTCTTATTGAGCATGAACTTTGATGTTTTGAACCACTTTGGCCATGGCTGCCTCAGAGGGGTTGGCAGAGGAGCGGGCGGACTCCAGAAACCATCTTATCACCATTAAACTGGTTAGCCCACTAGATGAGTGTGCTACCTATGGGACTGAGTTTGTCGTGGCTTATCGGACTGATGAAGTCCTTTGGATGAAGGACGAAACCTTTCAACACAAAGAAACCGTCCAGAGGACCTGACTTAACTTTGTTGGATATTTTACCTGGATTACTGAGCATAAACTTTGAAATAATCCTTAAGCTTTTTGGACTTTAAGCATACTGCTTGAATTTCAAGCCAGTGGCACAAAGCCTCAGGAACATCCCTATCTATCCTTTATCTGAGTGAGAACACACTGACTCCTCGTCAATATCTTCTCAGCACTTAGACAATGCTATAAACAATGAAAGCTGAGGAAAGATAATAACACTGACCAGCTTGTGGAATGGATTTTAAATTCTACCAACTCATATTTTTATAGCACAATGAAGTTCCTCCGGTTGTAAAACCATCGTTAATCATTTAAAGTGTTTACTTTTCCAGTCGGGTAATAAAAACAGCTTTAAATATGGCTCCAAGTATCAAGTTTTATTTAGGTTTGGAGTTAGTTTGAGACTCAATCATTCTTATCTCAATTTATTTTACGAGCAACTGTGTTGTGAAGGTGCCAGTGGGTACCTGCCAATGGAATTATGGGAAATATGGGGCAATAAATGATTTATTGTGATAATGTTTTTGTGTCAGTCTGTTTAAATGTAGGCAACTTGCATCCTATGACAACCTAAAACCTTAAGACTGCAACAAAAATAGACTTATTCATATAAGAAAACCAGTTTTAGTTGGACAAGCAAATGTCCTTGAGTGTATCGTGTTCAATTAAACAATTCTTTAATCAACGTCTTGTGTCGCCTCTGAGTGTGCACCTGATTAGGAATAATCATTTTAAAGTCTACTGGACAGTTTTTTTTAAACAAGGCTGTTATCATTATGCCCTTGCAGTTTCTCAAAGTAAAAGATTACCCAGCACTTAACCGCTCTAAAAGTAAACCTTCAGTAACGTGACTGGCACGAGGAGTTCTCCTTCACGTGAGAGACAATTTAAACAAGGCTTAACAACCACTCTCCCCCGTGATCCTCCTGCATTTTCTATCCAGATTATAAAATCGGAAGGAGAAGATTTCAGTCATTGACACAGGGGGGGTTGGAGCCAGGACCGAGGTGAAGCATCACAGCGCGAAAAAGTAGAAGTAGCAGTCGAGGCAGGTATAAAAGCAAACGGCTGAAAACGATGCTGATGTGGAAGAGGGCAGAGAGTGCGTTGGTGCCGTTTCCACGGGCCAGCAGGTTATTTTATGTGAAACCTTTACAGAATTAATAACACCTGCAGGAGAACGCCACTAAAGGAGGAAGAGGAGAGGGAAGGAGAAAAAAAAAAAGCAAACGGGGGACAGGGAGGAAGTGACAGAGTAGAGTGGGTGAAAGGGGGAGTACCAGTGAAAAGAATGAGGAAGGAAAAAACAGAAAAAGAATTAGCACCATTATGAGGCCTGAAATAATGCCCGCCACTTTAATGGGTCAAACTGCCAAAAGGCCTCACGTTCCACCTCCCACTCCACCACGAAGACATTTCACAAGCCAGTTTTTCAACAAGCAGCGTGAGCAGTGGGTTGACGGTAAAATCTTGTTCTGAAGCCAAGCGAGGACAAAAACTTTTGATTTCCTCGTTAAAGGCCTGACAGTAATAAGACCCAGCAACTCCCTTCTCTGGATCCCCAAGCATGCACTTCGCCCTGTCCACATTACACCTGGTCGACAATATCTCTCACACACCTGAGCAGACCAGATTTTCCACAAACAACTCATCCTCCCCTCCCTGCTCTTTATCTCCCTCCCATAGCAACTGGCAGCCCCCCCGGCTGTCCAATAACAGCGTTCACCCAGTGCCCAGAGGGTTCAGCCCAACAACGGCACATCCACCAGACTAACCTGCTCCAAAACACACCCTGTAAAACACACACACGCAGGTACGAGAACACACACACACAAACGAAACACATGCACACATGTACATGTCTGTGTGGCTCCCCCCACCCACCATTGTTCGCTTCAACTTCGCTGAAGAGTAAAAACACGCTCCACCCAGACAATCAGAATGTAAAAACATCTCGGATGATACTTTGATGGGAGCTTTGTGATCCTTAGAGACGCGTCAAGATGTTTTCCTCCTGTGAGGAGGAGATGTTTCACCCACAGGCCAAAAATCTCAATCCTACCTTTCCCATCTTTATGGGCACGCTCAACTGGAGTCGAGGCAGCGACGGTCTCGTGGCATCCATTTTTTCCACTCTCCTCTCGTCTTCTCCTCTTTCCTCCGCGCCGTCTTTCAAAAACCACCTCTTCTTTTCGACCCGTTTCCTTCTACTCTCAGACGCGCACGTGAAAGGTCTGATCTCGTTGTTAGAAGTCGGGGGTTAGGCGTTCATCCTTCAGGACGTCGCTCAAACATTCTAACGTTTGGTCTCCTTCCTGTATTGTCAAAAGAGGGTGCACGGTGACGAAGGTTCAGATTCTGAGATAACCCTCCCCCCCGATTGTCGCCTACGCGCCCCTTTCTCCAAAACTCAACGGTCCTTTTTCCGAGCACTTTCCGATAAACACAATATCCCAGTTTTCACCGGAGAGGACCCAACGGGACAACGGGTACCAAAGTAGCTTCGGCTGGTTTCTAAAATCAGGTTGAAGACCACGCACACTAACAACTCAGGAAGCCTGCACCTGCCAACAAATCTCATTAAAAACTACATGTTTTGGTCAATATGCTCTTCAAATACTTTCAAAGCAGATTTAACTTGTAAGAACAAAAATCATATTGCCCTTATGAGTCATTTACTCCACAATTCAAACACTCAGTTAGGAGCAATATGAGTTAAACTAAATTACGCTGCGCCTCCGAGACAAACCGGTGCAAGAAGCTCTTCCTTTGAAGCGCGCTAAACGTGTGCTCGTCACAGAATAACACCGCAGCGTCTACAGCAAATATTTACTGCTGTGTTTAAGGCCAAAGCACGAACATTAAGAGTCGTTTCTTCAGCTCGTCGCAACAAGAGCAGCGAAAGTAGAAAGACACAGACGCGAGGAAGTATTTTTCAGCAGCAACTAATTTAATGTAAACTATCTGAATGGTTAAAATACTCTAAAGGTAGAAAATATGAATATTTAGTAAAAGAAGATGCCCATTTTTATCATTCCAGAGTATGTCCAAGCTTATTTAAAGGTCACTGTGTCCTTAAAACGTTTTAAGCAGGTTTGATAAGATTTAAACAACATTTTTTTTAATTAAAAGCAAATTATTAGTAGAATCAAACAATCTAATATTATTTAGTTTTGCCTTATTTATCAGACGAGTTGAATTTTGTAGGTAAAGAAGCATCACAAGTGTAAAAAAAAAAAGGTGTCTTATTGTCTCTGAGGGGCAAAGGGTAAACACTTGACTTGACCTTGCATGTGTACATTGTGTCCCGCTGCACGTAGACACGATAACGCAACAGCCTTAGGATGACTTCTGTTTGAAGTATTTTCTAATATTATCTGTATGAATGCACAACAGAGCAGAACGGTCTAAAATGCCCCTCAGAAAGTTAAATATGCTGCCAAAAAAAAATAAAAAATGGTGCAGAAAAACGAGGCACAAACGGGGGTTTTTAGGAGGAGCACGTAAAAATGCACTTTGTTTCCGGCATAGGAGGAAAAAAAAAAAATACTATCATGGGTGGTTAGAGGTTCAGCTTATTTTAGACCTATTAGAACAGAAGATGTGAGAATGATTCCCATCAATTCTCTTTCTGTTGGTGAGTCACCAAATACTGACACATTATGCACAACTGTGTGCAAATCCTCCCTACTTCTCCTTCGCCGCCACTTTGTTTCTGTTTTCTGTTGCGTACCAAGGACATGTCTGCATAAGCTGCTGTATCTTGCAACACATTGTAGCTACGTTCAAAACACGCCACAGGAAGACACCTAAAACCTGTAAACAAACAGAATAAAAAAAAAAATCTTAAATTATCACAATGTTTAAAGCAACTCAGCAGCTTCAAAGGCAAATAACTGTTCTGACTTATTGTCTTTAGGTTTGTCACTTAATGACCACTTCAAAATCCATAATCCGTTATTTCTGTGCATTAAAAGTTACAGATGTTTCAATGGTGTGGTCCAACTTTTATCTCTCATCTCTCTCTTTTTTTAATTTCCTCTCACCTCCCCCTCTTTTGTCGACGGCGGAGGAATTAATCGCCTCTGCAACTCTACGGCTTCCTCGTCCCTCGCTTTCGTTATGCGCACTCTCCTTTTCTTCTAACTAGTAAAATTTGTGTCTTTTCAGAAGAACTGCTAATAGAAGTAGAAATGTTCACATTATCTTGTTAAGTGAGCCTCGTATTGATTCTGATTTTCATGCCCCAGCCTTGAAAGAAAACAGGCAAATAAACTATTGTTTAAAAGCAGAACCCCATGTGGATTTTTGGTTTTACTCATGAGGAAATGGAAACATAAATAAATAAATAAATAAATCTCAACAGGTTCATGTGGAGGCCATGAAAATGACAGCTGCACACAAATTCATCCTGTCCGTCACATATATGCAGAAATGTCCCTGCACACATGTTTCTCTGCAACTAGAACAGTTAAATGTTATTTTTACGGCTCTTATTTTCCGTTAAAGGCTGGGAGTTTTCCCAGTCCACCTCAATTATATCAGGCTCCAGCAGCAAGGGGGGAAAATATGACTTTTCACACAAAGCTGTGGCTGAGAGGAG